TTTAGTTCTATATTTGTGTTATCTAATGTTAGTATCCTCAATTTGCCAAACTTTTCGTTTTTCCTTATACGTCCTAAAAGGATCATGCTCATTAATATGGTGTTAATAATAATAGTTGACTTTCTTTTATCGAAAAGAGATAGGATATCAAGTAAATAATTGAGACAGGAACACGGTAAAAATGCATATCTGCTTTTATTGAAAAAAAAATGAAGAGAAAATGTGTCTCCGTGTGTACTGTGGTGTCGTGTACATAAGATCGTCGATCGATAACTGTGCTCTTAACTCAGCGATCACGAACCTGGCGACGGGACGCGATCGGTACCACAAACAGGGAACGATTTCATTTAAAAAATCGAACATGATACCCGGTCAGGTATCGTTACGAGCGCCATTAAGGTACCCGGAACCACAGTCGAGGGCCGATGTTTCTCGCGCAACCACCGGTCCGCCCGACGGGAAAATTCGTTCCTACTTTATTTATAAGTATACATATACATACATACAGAGTTTACATAACATTATACATGCCTACGACTCGCTGCGTCTCGACAAAAATGCCGCAAACTGTTACCCAACCCTCCTCGTACACGATTCTACTTAAACGTCAATTTCTTTCATCGCTAGTCGATGCTTCCACGCACGGAAGCGGCACGCTCGTCTACTAGTAATATTAAAAATACGAAGTCGACTAGGCGCAGACACGGCGACAATTATTATTCCCCCCTCCTCTTGGTGCAACGTTACAAACGTTGTATATAGTAGCTGCTGTTACAATTGTTTATCGTTCAACCGTTCTCGTAATGGTCTTTCCTGTTATGCGATCAACGAGTACGTAGCAACTAGACGCAGTCCAGTGCGTGTATATCCGGGAGTGTTTCCGGCCCATCGCGTGACTTCACGCGCATCGGCCGTGGCAGTATTACAATACACGTTCAGTCAATGATTGGCTCGATGCAAAAACGAAAATAGCGGTATTTGCTTTTCACGCGTTCAGTGTAAATCGCGACACATGGCTAATCTTCATGTTACTGTGCATCACGCGTTTCGCCATCGAACTTATCCCGATTCTGAGCACGCAGCTCGGCCGGATCGCAATTTTGTCTTTACATTCAACGCGTTAGGAGCACGTGTACAACGAGAATACCGCGTATCGCACGCATACTGCACGTTTTCTCCCAACGGATCATGATTATGCGATCGCTTTCGGACGCGAAGAGCGCATTACGCGCGCGCACTCCGAGATCTACAATTCGTATCCGCACGAAAGTGAAATTAACTGTCCATTCCGTACGATTCGCACATTATTGCATTAATTTATAATCGCCAGACTAGTCGAATAATATATTAATGCCTGATAAATAAAATGAAGCGATGCGTCGTGCGAGGGTGTGAAAGAATCTTAATTCATTTTGCGTCAAGCCAACATTTGAACGCGAGCTCGCGTATTAACATGTAGTAGCAGGCAGCGTTTAACGTTCGCCGAAAAAGAGAAATCAATTCGCGGCGATGACCGCGGCCGCTGTTGAGGAAGATGAAGACTTCTTCTTCAAGACGATATCCTTGATGTTCAGATTGACTTTCTCCTTACGCGGCGGCGGCACCGATTGTAGGCAAAACCTCTTGAAGGCTTCCAGCTCCCGTTCCGCGTCGTCCATCTCCCCATCCTCGAGGTCTATATCTTTGGGCGTGAATACGCTCTCTGCAAAAGACACGCTCTGAATACTAGAGATCTCCCTGACACGCTGGGGAGTGCGAAAAATTTGTACGTTAGAAGCTATCTCTTTGCTACTTTTTTCCTGTCATTTTACTGCCTTAAGATACTGCTAAGAGTAAATAATATAAAGTCCGAAAATCAGACGATCCTAAGTATATAATGGATCGTAAAAAAGAAACGAACGACTGGTAAAAGATACGAGAGAACGATAAGCAATTACTAAAGAATCATTTTTCTGTGAAGAATAGAAAAAAGAGAGTGCTTCACGTAATTGATACGCAGATAGGAGTCTTTTTACCTGTTTTTTGTTTTCGATAGACAACAGGGGATAAGAGACTATACCGTTGGAAAAAATAAATTCGTTTTATTCAGACACGTAATTCAGTGATTAAAAAATAGTTCGTTTGCTCGTTAGAATCAGCTAAACGTATCACAAAAGTTAATCGAGTAGGTATAGCGAACCTCGCTGTCATGGTCAATGAACTTGGCAAAGCGTGACTGTCTCGAGTGATCTACGTATCTTTTCCTTATCTTTTTGTCCTCGTCTCTCTTTGCACATACCGCGACAGACTAAAAAAGCTTCCGCCAAAGTCCAACATACATACATATACAAGCGCGCGAAGTATCTCTCTCTTTTTCTTTCTCTTTGCCTCTTCAAACATTATGTTTAGCGTTTAAGTGGTACTCGTATTTACAGGCGCGATCGATTTCTCAATGCTGCTCTACTGCGGGTTAACTTACTTCAGTATTATATTTCCTAAGGTACAAAATCATGAATTATAAAAAATTGCTATCATATTGCAGAAAATATAACTTTTCATATAACCCTTTTCATATAAAAAACGATTTACCTACTATAAGGAATTATAGAAACAAAGAGAGAAAGATAATGTCAGAGACGTATGCAGTTGAGACACTCACACAATGCAGAGAGGAAGAAAAGCTGTGAACTATTCCAATATCGAATAGTATTGTTTTTTAAATATAGTTCATTACAAACTGTGTCAAATTATTTTAAAAGAAAATAGGCCAAAGTTCTGAAAAATACGTGGCCTGTGTCCTCGTCTATCTCCGATACATTCGATCAAAATTCTTTCTCTCTCTCTCTCTCTCTCCCTCTCTCTCGTTCTTTCTTCCTCGCTCTCCGTCGATCTACTTTGAGATCGAAACGTTCGTCCTAACGCGGTACTCTATCTTCTCCTAACAGTAAAAAACGAAAGAACAGAAAAATTGTGATCAAATATGAATCTGATTCTCTAACCGTAGCCCTAAGACGCTAACACGTTTCTTCATCTGTACAATAGATCTCTAATTCTTGCATCTACATATGTACTGCTCTTTCATTTGTCTTACGAACACGAAAAGAAAAATAAATAAATAATAAATAATTAATCTGTTTGGTGGACCGGGAGCGAATAAATACAACCCGGCAATGTGTTAAGGAAAAGAAAAAAATGAAAGAAGCAAATTTACATGTTAAACTCTGATTATTGTTGTTTCTCACCAACGAGGTTCCAGTCATCTCCGCACTGCCTCGTGCCAGTTCCGCGTTTTTTCTTTTTCTTGCTCTTTCCAGTAGTCGACGCCGCAATCGAGGCGTTTATCACCTCTCTCACTGCCGACTTAGCGCATTGCACGTCCTCCATACTCGTATCCGTCCTCACCTTCGTCAGCGTTACGCTGGTTCCCTTCAAATTGATCCCGTCCTCCGGTATCGGTTGACCGTTCGCCACTTTGCTGATTTGTATATTCGCCAGACCACTCAGGCTCGTGCAATCCGGAGTCAATCTACTCCTCAATTCCGCCAAACTAGACGGTATAATACCGTTCGCGTGCTTCACACTCGAGTTCTCTGACGACTTCTGCGACGTCAGATCACCCTTCACGATATAATCCGGTTTCGGCGGAGACGTCAGGCCCGCATTGATCGCGTGCTGCAACGCGGGACTCCTGATGGTCACCATACCGTTTTCCGACACCTTTATGATGGCCGCTTGTTGGGTAGGCGGCACTTTCATCGGACCGAATGCGGGATTCCTTATAGTCACCATATTGGTGTTCGGATTGTGAAGTATTCTAGCCGGTTCGTCTGTGTGATCGTTCATGAAAGGGTCGCCGCTTTGTACCGTTGCGGGGTTCGCTACATTACCGGTATTCGCCGCGTTTTTGTTCTTTTTCTTCTTCCTTTTGCTGCTAGTGCTCTGACTTTGCTGCGTTTCTTTAGGCACATCTAAAATAAAATAACCGATTACAAGGTAAATATTTTCAGTACTTTTAATGCATTGAAATAAAGTAATGAATATTTGAATACAAGACAGATTGTTATCCAGGTTGAATTCAAAATCGTGCAACGTTTACTCACCTTTCTCAGTAGGTTTCGGTAAAAGATCCTGCTTTAATTTCCCAGTATCCACCACGATTACATTGCCTCCTGCCTGCGGACTGGCGTAACTTGACTGAATTCCGCTCATCGGCGCGGCGATTATGGTAGTTTGCTTGGGAGGGTTTACCGGTTTAGGCAACGGCGCCGATCTTATAGGTAAAGGTTTTGCTGGAGCATCGACTTTTGTTATAGTAATACCTGGCGGTAATTTCAAATTCTCTATATTAATTTTCGAATTCGCACTGATATCCTTAAATTGGCTGCTCAGTGGCGAATTGCCCCTTTCTTCGGACACTGGCTGTACTTCCGCTCTCTGCTTATCCGTCATTTGATTCATCACTTTGTTCTGAACCTTTTGGTTGTCATTTTTGGTCTGTTTAATCGTTACATTGTTACACGCGTTTTTATTACTCTTGATAGAAGTCAACTGATTACTTTTATCTTGCACCTGGGATTTGGACTTTTTGTTGTTCTTTTCGTTGGTAACATTCGCGTTTTGCGACGTCTTCTGTGCAACTGGCGTCTGGGGCGGAGTGTGCACTCTGCTCTGCTTTTTCCCCGACGCGTTCTGCTGCTGGTTCTTGTTTTTGTTCACGACATTCTGTTGAAGCACGTTTTCTTTATTCTCGGTGCTCTTCTTGTCTTTCTTCGACTTTGACTTCGACTCGGTAATATTCTGTTGCTGAATCTTTTTCTCATCGACCTGTTTCCCTTTACCCTTTTCATTATTTGCTTGTTGCTTCACATTGTTCTTCGTATCGCAGATCTTATTATTTTGTACTTGCTGTTTCGAATTATTTAATTGCTGTTTATTCCCCTGTTGTAGTGAATTATGATTAGCATTATTATTGCTATTATTATTATTGTTGTTGTTATTTGCTTTAGTCTTCTTCTTCTTTCCGCTGATATTCTGATTCTGTTCGTTCTCTAATTTCAAACCAGTCACTTCCTTGGTCTGACCGTTCACCAACGTGAACAAAACTTTATCCTCGGCTGGCGTTTGCCCCTTCAATGTGATCGTCACTGTCGGTTCCGCGCTATTCGATTCCATAACTCTCTTGATCGTCACTATTTGAGGCTGCGTCTCCGTCTGAATCGGTTTCTTCGTTTCCTCTTTTGCCTTCGCCTCCTCCAACTTTTTCATTTCTTTCTTCAATTTCTTCCTCTCCTTCTTCGTCAAGTTCTTCTCATTCGAATCAACGGTCACTAATTTCTCCGTAGCGCTGTTCGCGCCACTCTTAACGTTTGCGGTATTGTTATTGGCTGCCTGCACTTTGCTATTTTTATTCCCGATATCAGTTTTCTCGTTCTTGATCGCCGCTTTGTTGTTCGTTTGACCAGAGATCACCGTTTTGTCAGGTTTGCTAATACTTTTATTCTTTGTGTTCGTATTCACAGAAGCAGTCTTCGTTTTGTTATTTATACTACCGGTACTACTACTACTACTGCTGATGCTGCTGCTGCTACTACAGCTACTGCTACTAGCGTTACTACTACTGCTACAGACTTCTTGTTTGTCTTTCTTTTTATTACTTAATTGTTTTACAGCCGGTAATGCTACTGGCGGCGACGTAGGTAAAATAGATACTTCGGGTAGGTTACACTGAGGTAATAATCTTTGAGGAACAGGTTTCTGTGGATCTACGATCGTGATCGTTACTTCCGGTGTCTTTTTTTGCAACTCCATTAGCTTCTGCCTTTGTGCTTCTTGTCTGTCTCTTTTAAGCTTTTCTTCTAACTGCAAAGAGGAAGTAGAAATTCAGTTAATTAGTTCCATAAATAATCGATTAAATTTACGAATATTTAACCTTTAGACTGCCGGAAAACCTCTGACCTCTATGCTTCGCTAAGTACGTACGTACTACGTATAGTAGAGAGGCATTTATATTGTATTATATTGAATAGCCGCGTATTGAGTTTCAAATGCCGACGGTCTAAAGGTTAAAACGATATTGACCTTTCGTTGCTTCTGCCTGGCTTTCTTTTCGGCCTTTTTGTTATTATCTTTCTTCCCATTCTGATTCCCTTCAATGAATTCAAGCAACTCTTCTAGATCCCTCTGATCCCGTTGATCGCTTTGCACTGTGGGAACGTTACTCAAAACTGGAGTGTTCGATCTAGGCGCCGTATTCGTCACTGCCTTCGATTCTACGCTAGCGTTAGACACGACCGACTCCGAGGGACTTTTCGAAGGACTGCAACTGGCTTTACACTTCTTAGCCTTTTTCTTAGTCAACAACTGTCGTAAACGTTCTCTCATTTCATTGTAATTCCGACTAACCGGCGCTACCGAAGGCTGAGGAAAATTGCTCCTTTAAGATAAGACACCAAGTTACTCGTAAGAATGAAAACAATTTAATTTACGTACAACTCCGTGGCCAAATACTTCGCAGTAACAGCAGTCGCAATGTCTACTCGAATCCCTTTGCGCTGAACTAGTAGTGGAACAAGAATCTTCTTGACTACTTCCGGAATCCGAACAGTCCCCGTCCCCGGAACTTACTAAAATTATACAAATATTTTCTTCGTTAATAAGGAAATTGATGAGAAGCTGATGCAAATCATGTTAATGATTTGATACTGACGATCGTTACACGAAACTCTCTTAATGTGCTCGACTGTCGCCTGCTTGTGGCAAGCGTGCGACGCATGATTGCTATGCGTATGAGATCTGTGAGTGGGTCCTGTATTTTTTGCTACGTCCGAAGGAGATCCATGCGTATGTGAATGCGATGTCGCGCCTATTCAATTCCAGAAAACAACACAACTTTTATTAATACTATTTTAACAAACAATTTAGAAAATTGAGTAACAAATGTTTACTCGAACGATTGTGCTTACTTTGCGGTGTTATTGTATGATTATGGGTGGTATTCAGTGTTTGCGTTGTAGAATGCCTAGTTTGCGTTTGGGCAGACTGTGTCGAACCTGTTTTCACCGTTGGTTTACTTGCTTCTTGATTATTCTTCACGGTGGTAGGTGATACTGGTTTTTGATGACCATTTGACACAGCCGTCTCAGCTAATAATACCATTAATCATTAGAACAAGCAAATTGTTTAATTGGTAATACCACTTTAGCTTCCGGAAAAATATTCCATCTACCAAATTATACGTTTGAACAGAACGATGAAAATCGGTACGTATTTCCCTAGGTAATGTAATTCCCAAACTACAAGAAACATTTCAAGTGAATCAATGATTCGTTAAAGTTATGCTCCCAGCTAGTTCAAAAGAGTTAATGTTTCACGTGGCATTTTTCGATAGACGAAAATTTATGAATACAATTTAAAATATGTACAATAAAGGCTTTTAAATAAATTTTGTATTAAGTTTATTGCATTCCCATAAAAAATTGTCAAAAATAGGCTTACTTTTCTGGGTACTAGAGTGGCATTACCTGTTGACCCCTTAAAGCGCACTTTGGCACAATAGACTGAATTAATTTTTAATATCCGAGATTCGTCGCAATAAGCTCAGAAAATCCCGGGAACGTTCCCCAGACTTGAAAATATGCCAAAGGGTTAGTGATAACAAAACTTTCATGATTGCAATTACATTTTGTCAAGCAAGGACAGCTATCCCATATTTTCCGTTTGGAATTTAATAAACAGGGGCACGGCGGATTCTCCAGTACCATTTTTCTCTCCATAATTTCTTTCACGTGTTGATATACACATGTACAAGGTTGTGGATCGAACGTTCTTAGATCGGTATTCTCGTTCGCGTTTCTTACATCGCTACCATCGATTTTCGCTTCTTTCATTTCGACATCCTGCCCTTTTTTCTTTACCTGCGTCGCAGAATAATATCCCGTATGTTCTAAAATAAAGTTAAGTGAGATTACATACGCATAATATTATATATTTAGTGGATTTCTTCCGGGACGATTCTTACCTAACAAATCACTTATTATAACCTGGGAAAAAGCACTGTCGAACGGCAACAGCATGTTCTCCGAGTCACTTTTATTTACCTGTAAATTAATCCAGTTGACACTATCGACTATGTATTAAACGAAAATAAGGAAATTAGGAGCAGAGATTCTTACGGTCGAAGTTACTGCAGGCCCTGTGCATATGTGACATTCACAACTTTTATCTTCTTGACCGTTACTTTCCAAGGAAGTTCCCTCGTTATGCGCCCTTCCGAATAGATATATTAATCATCAAAACATAATCAAGATGATTGCAATTCACGTAAACGATAATAAATACCTGACGGACTTCATCGCAAACTGTGCTAAATCGTCTAATAAGATTTTAAGTATCTCGATGCTCGGAAGCATATTAAGCGAATCCAAACTAAAATCAGGAGTGGGACTCAAGGGTCTACTGTCCGCGTCCGATGCGCAAATCTTCTCCTGCGACATACGCGTCGAAATTTGCTCATCCGCTTCCTGTAATTCACTAAAATTAAGAACAAAATGAAACAATTAATTTAGTTTAATATTATATCTTTGAATTTTTCATTTTCATGTTAATGTACCTTCCAGCATCAGGTGATTTATGCAACATACGTTGCTCCATAAGTTTCTTAGTTGCTGTGAATAATTCCCAACCCTCCCTTACCTGCCTAACACGAGTCATCCGAAATGCTTGTTCTGCACTAAAATATACACTGCTTATGAAATTTTGTTCACACATTTCATTCCCTAAAATTGTTATTGATCTTATTGTCGTTCATGTATACTTACTTATACTTGTCCATCCACGATTCCGTTTCTGCCCATAGATCTCTAATCACCGTCATCTCTTTGTCAAAGGACAGATATCGATGAACGAGACGTTGATATTCCGTGTCTTTTAAAGGCAAAAGTTTTCTTAACTGTAAAACTTAAGATTTATATTCCGTCACTTGACAATATACAGTGGCTCCAAAAAATATTGGCATATTTCTTAAAACGGAATAACTTTTTTAATATTGAACCAAACAACATAATGTTTTGTAGGATCCTAGAGAGTATGTAATGTACAAAATTGCTCAAATTTTTGCACATTTGCCCAAAATTTTTACTGGTCAGAATCGCGAAGAGAAAAGTGAATATCCTATTTTTTAACTTTTTTATTGGGGCCTCCGACAAAAGTTTGAAACATCCTGTTTGTAGATCTAAGTAAATTATATAAACGTACAAAGTTTCATAAAAGTTAGTGAAAGCATAACGAAATTAACTGTCT